TTTTATTTTATTTTATTTTATTTTAGGGGCATTTTTTGGGGTTTTTTGGGAATTTTTTCCTGGGAGCCAGCGCAGGGTGGGGGGTAAAATCCAACCCTTAAAAATGATTCCATAATTCCGCGGATTTGGGGCTGCCGGCGGCGCAGGAAGGAGCGATTGTAAAATTTGATGGATTTCTGGTGCTGAGAGTTTACAGTTTCTGAGCCAACAAATAAAAAAAAAGGCGTTGAGTTTTTTTTTTTTTTTTATTTAACTTTTTATTTTTTGGCGTCGCTGTTTTTTGTTCTCTGCCCCCCCCACCCCCCGGGCCATAAATCAGAATTATTTCCGGCGCTGGAAAAAAAAATAAAAATTTAAGGTGATCGTTAAAGGCGAGAACAAGTTCCTAGAAAGGGGAGGGAAATGTGGAAAAATCGGAATAAAATAGGGGAGAAATCGGAATAAATCGGGGGAATTTGGGGGAAAAAAACTGGTTAAAATATTAGGGGAGAATCAGAATAAATCAGAGGAATTTGAGGGGGAAATCAGAATAAAATAGGGGGAATTTGGGGGGAAATATAATAATAAAATAGGGAAAATTGGGGGGGAAATCAGAATGAATCAGGCGGCAAAAATCATCATAAATCAGGGGGATTTGGGGGGAAAATAGGAATAAAACAGGGGGGAGAAATCAGAATACAAAAGGGGAAATCCGGGGGGGAAAATACGAATTTAATGTGATTATTAAAGGCACCCCAAGAGTCCCTAGAATGGGATGTTTGGGGTGAAAAATCAGAATAAAATGGGGAAATTAATTGTGATTAATAAAGGGAGCTCAGGAAATAATTCGGGTTAAATGATGAGGCGGGGAATAAAAAAAAGGGTATAAAAGGGGAGCAGGTAAAGCCAAATCTGAAATTTTTTTGGGATTTATTATACCAAAATGGGGTTTGAATCTCCAGAAGGAGAAAGAAAAGCAAAATTCCTTCTTTTTTTTTGGTTTGTTAAACTAAAAGACCCTGAAGTGACCCCAAAATTTGTCTCCTAACCCCAGAGGTGCGAGGAAGGAAAAAAATTCTAATTTTTTCAGGCTGAATGGACAAAAATGGTCCTGAAATGACCCAAAATGAGGACGAGGAAGGGAAAAATCCAATTTTTTGTGTGTCTGACAAAAAACAAAAAAACCCATAATTGCCCCAAAAATTGTCATGCATTTCCGAGCAGATGAGGAAAGGAAAAATCCCCAATTTTTTCTGGGTTTATTGGACAAAACCCACGGAATTGGCCCCAAAAATTGTCCCCTTACCCCAAAGGATCGAGGAAGGGAAAAAATCTAATTTTAAAAGTTTTTTTGAAGAAAACTGCCCTAAATTGACTGTAAAATATAAAAATCCTCATTTCCCCCCGTTTTTTTGGCCCTAAGCTGCCCCAAAAATTGTCCCGCATCTCCAAGGGGACGAGGAAGGGGAAAAACCCCAATTTTTAAGGGTTTTTGGCCCAAAAAAAGCCCCAAAAAGGGCGGGTTGGAGCGGGCGTGGAAAGGGCCGGAATTCCCAGGAAATCGGGGAAATTCCCGGTTTTTCCTGCGCTCCCTTTTGAGCTTTTCTGCATTTTGCCGGGATTTATTCTCCACAAAACACAAAAATTGGAATTTTTCCCCACGGGGGTCCCACTTAGGCTGATGGATTTGATTCCTCTCCCCTCATTAACGGCCCGGTTTTAATCCGATTTTTAATTATTTTGGATTGGAACCAATATTCGCTCTCCCGGGAAAAAAAAGAAAAAAAAAAGGAATCCCGAGAATTTCCAGCTATTAATTTAGGAATAATTTTATTTTTTTGCTATTTATTCGCCACTTCGCGGGCCCAAGATGCCGACCAGGAACGCGGAGCGGCCTTAAAACCTTTAAAAAATGGGAAAATCTGCTCAAAAATCCCCTGAAAATCCTGATTTCCCTAAAAAATGAGTTTTTCAACGCTTTCCCCCCCATTTTCCCACCCATTTTTTTTTTCAGGGAGTTTCGATCCGGATGTACCTGCGTGGAGGAGAAAATTAAAAATATTTCAATCTGTCAAACCGGGATGAGAGGGTGAAAAAAATCGGGGAAAACTCCTGGATAGAGAGTGAAAAAATGGGGGAAAAAAATCAATTTATTGTCTAGGCTGACAACGCGAGGTGAAATTCGGGCGTCCCAAAAATGCACGGAAAAAATGAAAATAAATATGAAACCGGCGGGAAAAATTAAAATTAATGGGTGGGGGAAATAAAAATGAAAATGAAACCAGAGGGAGGGGAATTTAAGAGGGAAAAATAAAATAAAAATGAAAGTGGCAAGAAAAAACTAAAATTAAACTGGGAGAAAAAATTAAAATAAAAGTGAAACCGGCAGGAAAAAATGAAAATAAAAAAAATGAACAGGCGGGGGAAAAAAATTCAAGAGGGGAAAATGAAAATAAAAATGAAACCCGCGGGAAAAAATAAAATTAAACGGAATTGGAGCGGGTTAAAAAAGCGAAATGAAATAAAAATCCCGCGCTGGGCTTGAATTTCATCGGCCGTAAATGAAACTTTGAGAAACACGAGGCGGAATTTTGCCCGGACCCCATAAAAACGAGCGATTCCTCCCAAAGCTGATCCCACAAATTGAGGCCGTAAAGTCGCGATTCGCTTTTCTTTTTTCCTTTTTTTTTTTTCCCCTTTTATTTTTTTTTTTTTTTTTTTTTTTTTTTTTTTTTTTGCCGAGGAACCAAATGGCGCCGGAATCTCGGGGAGCTTCGCCCGCGCGGCGCTTTCAGGCCTAAAACTCGGGATTTTGGCTCATTTCATGCGGCAAGAGAAGCGAGGCGCTTTTACAGCCCCGGCGCGGGGAAATCTTTGGGAAATCCTTGGGAAATCTCTGGGAAATCCTTGGGAAAACATTCCCAGGAATGTCCCCGAGCGTCCCTCTGGGGCTTTGCCCTAAACCGTTACAAATCGCCCCAAACGGTCAAGTTCCACTTTTTTTTCCCCCTTTCCCCCGCGATTTCTTTGCTTTCTTTCCCTCCATTTCATTTTTTTTTCTCTTTGTCCTTTCTCTTTGATTTTATTCTGTTTTTCTTATTTTTTTCCTATTTTTCATTTTCTCCCGCGCCTTTTTTATTTTTTTTTAAATTAACGCTGCGTTTTCTTTTTGTTTCCCTTGAAAGTGACTCTGAACCCGCCTCTTTCTCCCCCGTCATGATCTTGAAATTCCCGGCCTGTTTCCCATTTTTCTCCCCCCGCCATTTATTCCACATTTTTCCAATCCCCAAACCCTGGAAAATCCCAATTCCCAATAATAATCCCAAATAATAAAGGAAATAAAGTAGGACGCGACCGCGAAAATCCCAAATTCCGGCGGTTTTGAACATCAAATTTTCGCTGGGAAATTAAAAATTCCCAAAAAATCCAACTTGAGGAGCCCTCAGTGGGAACCGCGCCACTGAAAAAGAGGATAGAAAAAAAAACCAAAACGGGTAGACAAAAGTAACTTTGATCCGGGAAAAGAATGAAAACTCAATTTAGAAACTGCAAGGAAAGAATTAAAATTAAATTCTGTTAAAACCCGCCAGAATCCGGAGAGTTTTGCTTTAAAAATAAATTTTTTCCCCGAACGTTTTCGGCTGGATCGGAGAATTCCCGGAGCAAAAGAGGCAGCGGCGCTTGACGCTCTCCAAATTCCGGCTTTTTTTCCCAAATCCGAGCTTTTTCCCCCCCTCTCCGGGGGGATTTTTTTCCCCCCTTCCCCCCGATGCGGTTTTATCCCAGAAATTCCAGACATTCGGGAACGAGAGCGGATAATTAAAAAAAGCTGCTCGGGCAGGGCAAGGGGAGGCGAAGCTGCTGCGCGGAGGGGAAAGGGGAAAAAAATGAATTAAAATTTAAAATACACAATAAAAAATAAGGAAAATTAAATAAAATTTTGGTTTCTCCTTTTTTTCCCCCATCGGGGGAAGCCGCTCGGGAAAAACCCAACCTGCTCCGAGGAGATGCGGTAGAAATTGGGAATTTTTGGGGAATTTTTCCCCAAATTTCTCTCCCCCAGCTCCCGCCCCGATTTTTTTCCTAAAGGGCCAAAACCGAGCGCGTCCCGCAAACCCTCCCCAGCCCCTGCGGAGCCCGAAATAATCGGAATAAACCCCAAAATTCGGCCGAGGAGCGGCGGGTCCGAGCCCGGGACGGGATCGGGAGGAGGAGGAGGAGGAAGGAGCGGCCGATGGAGGAAGGCGAACGAGGAAGAGGAGGATGGGGTCGATAATTAAACCATCATTAAACCATCATTAAACCCCCTCACAAAAAGCGGATTTTCGACCGACGCACCGGAGACAGAATTAAGAGGAAAGGTGGGGGGGATGAACCAAAACAAAACCAACAAAAAAGAGGCGAGAACCGCACGAATTATTTTCATTTTTTACACCAACCCCCCGCGTTTATCACCGCTATAAAAACGCACCGGGGCGGATGGGGAGGGGGCGAATCGGGGCTGGGAAATCGGTGTGAAATGGAGTTTTTTCGGGCGGTTTTCGGGCCGGGCCGGGCCCGGCCGGGCGCGGGCAGATGTCGCTGTTGCTCCGCGGAGCCGCCGCCGCCGGCGACAACTTGACCCCCGTGACGTGCGCGCCGTCTGAATCACCAAGGCCATTTTCAATCCTCATTGGCCTGGCCGTCACGTGGGGGTGAAGGATGGAAGGCGAAAAAAACGGGGAAAACACGAAAAAAAAAATTAGAATTTAAAACAACAACAAAAAAATAATAAAAAAAAAAAGAGGCGGGGTGGCGGTGTTGGTGGTGGTGGTGGGGGGGTGAAAGCGATGCGTGGGTAATTACGAGGCTCGGATTTTTTTAATTTTTTTTCCTCCTTCCCCCCTCTCTCTCTCTTTTTTTTTTTTTTTTCCTCTCTCTCTCTCTCTCTCCTCCTTTCCCCCCTCGCTAAAAAAAAGATGTCAGCCCCCGGCTGGAGTATTCCTGCCGCCAAGCGCTCCCGGAGAAAATGTCATGTCCCAGCAGCGCGGCTCCCGGCGCCTTCCTGATGGAGCCGCTGGCCCGGCCCGAGCCCTTCGCCGCCGGCCCGGCGCTCTTCGCGCAGCCCGGCGACTTCTCGCCGCTGCGGAGCTGCGCGGCGCTCCCGCAGCGCGACGAGCCCGCGCCGGGCTCCTTCCCCGCGTACCTGGCGCACCTGGACACCTGGGCCGAGCCCAAGGGCGCCTTTCGGCTGGAGCCGCCGAGCTGCGCCTTCCCCGCCGTCAAGGAGGAGGGCGGCTGCTGCATGTTCCCGGCGGAGAAAAGGGCGAAACGCGCGGAGAGCGCGGCCGAGCCCGCGCTGTTCGCCTCGCCGCCGGCCGAGCCCTGCCTGGGCGACCGCGAGGCGCCGGGGCCCGGCTACTACCGCTTCCCCTCGCTGGAGAAAAGCCCCGGCCCGGCCTTCGACGGCCGCGGGGAGCGCCTGCAGCCGCCCGAGCCGCTTGCCCCCAAATTCCACCGGAATTGCCCCGAAAACGCCGCCGCGGAGCAGCCGCGGGGGGAAATCAAAGGGGGAAAAGCCAAACCTGAGGCGGAAAAGGAGATGAGCAAAAGCACGGACACCGCCAGCACCGATAATTCCGACAGCGAGGCGAAAGGTAGGCGAGGAGTCGCCCGGTTTGGTTTTTTTTATCTTGATTTTTTTCGGGGTGGTTAAAGAGTTAAAATTGTCACGGAACGCGCTCGCTGCCCAGCCGGCTTCTCCCGCAGAAGTTGGGGTTAAAATAATCCCGATTGAGGATGCTTTATGGGGAAAAAAAAAATCCATATTCGGACTCGAATCGTGGTGTTTAAAAATATATATTTATATATTTGGGTATTAGAGGGGAGAAAGGGGAGCAGAGAGCGCGGTGGCTGCGGAAAAATGATGGAAAATCATTTGTTCAGAAAAATAATGGAAATTTGGTGTTTGGTGCAGAAAAATTATGGAAATCTGGTGTTTGGTGCAGAAAAAGGATGGAAATTTGGTGTTTGGTGCCAGAAAAAGGATGGAAATTTGGTGTTTGCTGCAGAAAAATTATGGAAATCTGGTTTTTTGTGCAGAAAAAGGATGGAAATTTGGTGTTTGGTACCAGAAAAATTATGGAAATTAGGTGTTTGGTACAGAAAAATTATGGAAATTAGGTGTTTGGTGCAGAAAAAGGATGGAAATTCGGTGTTTGGTGCAGAAAAAGGATGGAAATTCGGAGTTTCTGGGCTTTGCTTTGGAACCGCGGAGATTTGGGGGGTTCTGGGCTCGGGGAGCTTTTGTGGCGCGCTTGTTGTGATTTTTCAAGGGGGTGAACCCCGATTTTTGCCCCTTTTTTCAAGGGGAATTCTTCATTTCCGCGCGCAGGGTGAGAATTGGTTTCCTCTGGCGTTGGCTCGCGGTCAAAAGAAAAAATAAAGCATTAAAATGAAATAATGAAAATAATTAAAATTAAAAGGCGCGGAGCGGAATTGGCAGCTCCAGGCGGGAATTGCGGCTCCTTCCAGGGCTGGGAAGAGGCTCCGGGAGAGGAAAAAAAGCTTTTTTTAATTGAACTTCTTCAATTTGTTTTGTCTCGTTGGCGGAGGCAGAGAAATGTTTTTGTTGTGTCGAGCAGATGTTTTGGTTTTGGGATTTTCCCGAGGCGAGGCTCGCACGGAAAGCGGCTGGATTTTCCCTGCAGAGGCTGAAAATTTGGGATATTCGGGGTTTATTCCTCTTTTAAGCCCAAACCGGGCAAATCCAGAGGCGGATTCGGGCAGCGGGAATGCTGGGATGGGATTTTCTGGGGGAAAAAACCCACAAAAAGATCTCAGGAAAATCCCGCTCGGATCTAAGCCTGGCTTTGCCTGTGCTGAGGGGATTAAATTATCCCAAAATTTCGGCTCTGTGGACCCCCCAAAAATCCTGAACCCCAACAAAACCTCTCCTCCTCCACCCAAATCGGCCTTGGAGGGAGCAAAACCCAGAAATTCCCTTTTCTCCCTCTTTCTTTTGCACAATTCGCATTTCTGGTTTGGCATCCAGAGGGGAAATTATTTTATCTGAGGGCTGAGCTGCGATTATAAAAAAAAAAAAAACAACCCAGAC